TGGCTGGCGAAAAGAAGTGTGATAGAAGGAGACACAATGGGAGCGGGAGCTGAGATGGGGGCCAAAAGCGACTGTGACAGAATCATGACAGCACGGAATGTGATGGGCAAATAATCCTCCGTACATGTACTCCGCCTCAAGACGATGCAACGACAAAAACCACGCATAAACAACAACGATAGAATGGTGGATGGGGGAGAAGTGGCTTTTATGGTTAGGCGAAAGAAACAGGAGAGAAAAAAGGCGAGAAGGAAATCGACAGACGAGCATGGCAAGGCACAACGCGAATCAAGACTCTCCCCGAGTATACCAAGCCTTACAATATCCCACCGTACGAGCCCAAGTCCAGTCTCATCGTGGATTCCTGGCTTGTTCATTTCCGCCGTTGTCGTGGCCTCTCCCCTTTTTTAATAAATAACAAAATATGCTAATATGGCCAACAGGAGAAATACCGTCCATCTTAGCCGTCGGCCTCGGGCACCGGGACATCGTGACGAGGCCGGCGACGACGACGCACTGGAGCTGATTCCAAAGCTAGCTCGTTTTGGCGGATGGCCCCGTCCAAGAGGAGGCGTCCGGGGCGCCAAACGAGGAGGGCAAGCGAACAATGCGACACAATGCAACACAATGCTACACAATGCAGGGGCAGGCAATGACAAAGAGGGGGGAGGACCAGGGTCCAGTCCATCAACACTAGACAAGGCCGTGCAGTAGCGTCGACAAGCCTTGTCCTCTTCGGGTGACTGGCGTCGTCTTGGCTGCCTCGATCGCTTGCCGAGTCTCTGGCCCAGACCCGGTCCAGTTGGGTCCAGCCTGAGCACAACCCCGGACCCTTGCGCCTGCTTGTGCCTTTTGCGAATGGGCGCAGAACGCAGCTGTTGTTGGACAAGCGCCTCTGTCGTGCTGTTGTCGGGGCTACTACGGAGACGCTGGATCTCTCTGGTCGTCTCGCTGCTTGTGAACTTTACCACTTTTTCTGTCTTCTAGAGAGACGGCACTTATACAAGTAGAAAAGGGTAAATTAAATGTATTAAAATGTATTGGACAAAAAAAGGAAAGGAAAAAAGGAGATTATGAAAAGAGAAGCAAGGAATAGGGAGATCATGGCAGATCGTAGCAACGTACAAAGTACGAAATAGAACGGTAGAGAATTCCTATGTCAATCTCACGCCGTCCCTTTCCCCTCTGCAAACCTCCCATCCTCCTGTGCCTGTCGGCCTCTTTCTCATGGTCTCTCAAATACATTCTTACAAAGTATGTAGTTCGTAGTGCGCCCTTTCTAGGATCATGCTGATCGGCCCCTGAGCGGATAATTCCAGGCCGTGTTAGTCTAGCCTTGTGGAAGGGCCAGTCTACTAAACTCGATGGCATCCACCGCAAACCAACCAACTCCCGGCAATGTTCACTCTTTCTTTCTTGTTCTCGCGGGCTGTCTTTTCTTTTCTCTCCATGGTTTCTCCACCTCTTCTGAAATCTCGTAGTGGATCGAGACGGCCAACTACAAAGTCCGGAAATGATCGGCAATGGAACGGCAAAACAGCGGCAAGAAGAGGTCTTTGATCGTGGAATTGAACGTCGTGCGGCGTAACACTCGTCAAAAAGCCCATGTACGATGCAAACCAGCTGAATTGGCAATTACGGTAGCTTAATTCGTACTTAGCAACTAGCCAATGTGTCCACGATGGGAACGTGAGAAAATAACACTCAACAGCCAGCCCGGTAGGGATTAACAAACTAACAGCAGAGACACAGACGAGACAGGAACTGCCAGATAGTATTTCGTACTTCTGTACAAAATAGACTTGCTGCATGGTGTCCGTTTGTGTTGATATCTGTTGGCACGTTTTGTGTACCTTTGGGTCTTTTGGGGCCGCTTGTTGGTTTGAGGCAGGCTGGTCCTTTTCTTCTTGTCGTCGTTGCCTGATGTTCCCTCGGCAATATCACCACTGTCACGATTCTTTCTCTAGTTTTTATCTGACCAAAGCTGTACTTTATCGCCAGCATCCTGGAGATGGACGTTGTGCATAGGACAGCTCGTCTCTCACGAACCCGAGACATTCAACTCCACAATCAAGAAATCACGTCCGCATGTCGTCCTTTCATTCTTCTCTCGTCCATCTTCCCTTTCCTCTTCCTTCTCCCTGACCACTTACAAACGCTCACATCAAACAAGCACGGCCGCCATCTCCTGCTCACTGTCAATGGTTTCCCGCCAGCACAGTTCTGTTGTGAGCGATCTCCAATCATCAATCAGTACATCGTAGTCTGCAGCTCGTGCAATTGATCCCTGCAATCCGTGTTCGTGCCTCTCTTCCATGTCCAGCTTCACTTGACGGCGCGCTAGAAAAACAGCTGTGCAGGTACAAAGCTGAGATGTCCTTGCTCTTACTCATTTTACACATCAGCGCCAACCACTTGCCTCCTATTTCTGGCCAAGAGCGCCGGCGTAGCTCCGTTATGAGTCTTACTGAGAGCGCCTTCGATCCTGTCTCTTTATGCCGTCTTTGTCGCGCAGCGGACTCGAAAAGCAGCGTCGCTGTTTCCCATAGCACAAACCCCACCTTTGTAGCGGACACACAATGAAAACAGAGTACGAAGTACCTCCAGCGCGCATTATGCAATCATCACGCCACCCTCTGCTCCTTCGCTCCCGAGCTTCAGCTTCGTTCGTGCCTTCCGTGTCACTAGACAGAAGGCGCTCTCAACGCATCTTCGCACCTTCCCATTCTCCCGTACCTTCCTTTGTTCTTGCACGCTGCGGGCATCACTAGCTCTTGAACCATTTTATTCGAATTGTCAGGAAAGAGCTATCCGCTGGACTTGGTTCGTCGCTGCCGTAACTAGTACCTCCCTGTCAGGGGAGCGTTAAAGGGGCGAATGTTTCCGTCAATGTCTTTCTTTTTTCTTCAGTCCCGGCATCTCCATTTCCTCGCCGTTCTGTTGCCGACTTCGCGTCCCGGCAACCCTCCTCCCCACCCTCCTCACCTAGGGCCACCTACTAAGCCTAGCCTGGCCTATGTGTGCTTGGCTCTCTTGGATTTCCCTTTTTCTACCTTTCTTGTGCCCTTTTCCGTCCCGACGTCCTTCGTCTGGACCCGCCTTGTGTCCCTTTGTTTTGTACTCTTACGTTGGTTTTGGGTCTTGTCGTCGGCTCTCTTGAAGAAAACTATACCTCATTCTTGCTTGTGCTCCGTTCGTCTCCTAGAGATGGTAAAGTATTCTTCCACGCTTCACACCGTCGAGGAGGCGCAGAAAAGGGGGTCACATTTACACGATACTTCCCGGTCCAGAGAAACAGGCCTTTCCCACCTGCAACGGTCTTTTGTCCCATCCTTGCCATAGTCGACAAGTGCCTGTCTTGCAGAACGAAAAGCGCACCACTGTCTGTGCTGGTCGCTCGGCTCGGCCTATCTTCCTGCAGGAGGGTTACCCACCACCACACCTAGATCTCATACCATCCTCACACTCTTTTGGAAACGGAGCGAGCAGGCTTTCCGGCGAACAGACCGGCAACCTTTCCGAGCGCCCTCCCGTGAGACCGTATCCTGGTCCAGCTTTGGGGGTTTTGCAAACTGCCAAAGAAGGCAACCGGCGACGCAATTGAAGCTTTTGGCTCCTCTTGCAACACACGGCCCTGGCCTAAAGTGTCAACGTGCATATCATCAACCCGACGCTATTGGAAATTTCTGACTGTGGTAGACATAACAACACGAACGGCCCTAGCGACGACGGGGGATGTTTGGCAAAGACGAGACGAACTGAGCCACCGTCGACAAACCCCAGACAAGGGCCCTAGGACGAGACACGCCATTGTGGAGCACAGAACGGAGCGGTTTCCGCTGGCTCTTTTATTTTATTTTATTTTATTTTTTATTACTCCTCCCGATCTCTTACATCTTGTGTCTCCTTTGTATTTCCTCTTGTCCACGTCTCAGCAACTTGCCTACTAGCACGGTAACTTTCCACTCCAGTTCCCACCTCTCCACAGGCATACTCGACTCTAGCCTTCTTGGGCTGTTCTTCCTCGACGATATTCGTCTGCTTTCTTTCGCTACACTCATGTTGACCCTTTAACACGTTTGCTATTACTGGAGCCACTACAACATACCATTGGCCCCTCGCTTTTACAACACACCCCTGGACCGTCGTTTTCTCCCCTGCTTTTTATTTCCTGTTTTGTTTTAACAAAGTGTGCATGCCACCCTTCACGGAACACACACACTTTGAAGTCTCTTCACCTCGCCCTTTTCAGCCACCTGCAGTTAAGTTGATACCAAAACGTGAGATTTGACGGCTAGCTAGGAGCATCAGCAAGGATCAACGTTTGTTGAGCCTCGAGCGAAGAACGCAGCTCCCAAAGACAAGGGAGCAAATAATAGCCAAGACCTCGAGAGAGATGCCGAACACGTCGGCTTGAGCACTTGAGCACTTGAGCACTTGAGCGCTCACTTTCTTGCCTCAATTGTCAGAAGCGATCGGCACGGTCGTCGATTCCCCTTCCCCTTCCCTTTCCTTCTTTTTTTTTTTTTTTTTTTTTTTTTTTTTTTTTTTTTTTTAAAGTTTTGCTTTTGCTTCCCCTGGAAAGGCCTCTCCCCCTGCATCCTCTGTTCAACAGAAACCCAGTCCCTTGGGCCACGGTCTAGCATCTCCTCTTTTTCTTCATTCTGTTGATCCTTCTGCCTTCTGTCCAGTTGTCTAGACTCTCCTTACGGTTCTGAATGCTTCTGGACTCTCTTCACTTGCCTTCTCCATTCATATATTACCCACTCCCAGTCCTTGGTTACATTCTGTCCGTTGATCTTCCTTTCTTTTTCCTTCTCTTCCTGTTACTTCTTATTTCTGTGTTCCTTTCCCCACGTTTGCCGTCTTCTCTCGAAAGAGAAAAAGATCAGCAGAACGGTTGAGGCGGTCCACCGCTCGTGCGTTTGCTCAAGACCGACCGGCCCGTCAATCGATTTTCACACATCTCGTACTCGGATCCCGGCCTCGACACCGTCACCATGTATGCGTCGGACGGCCACTACTCGGCGGCAAGCATTGCCACGCAGGCCGTCGCCGCCTCGTCCAACGGCATGCACAACAAGGGCACCGAGGAGGTATTCACCTCGATCAGTGCTTTCATCTCCCGCGCCATGGCCTCGACCGCCGAGTATCCCACATCGCCTCTGCAGCAGTTCGGTTTCGCCATCATCGTCTTCTTCCCTGTTCTCGCCTTCATTATCGTTATGCTCCGTGTCTATAGCCGTGTCAGCACCAAGCAATTTGGGATTGACGATACCCTGATCATCATCGCCATGATCCTGTCTATTGGCGAAACGGCCTCGACCTGGATGTTTATGAAGACCAACTTTATTGCCATTCACATCTGGGACGTTCCCCGCGAGTACGACGTCGTCCAGGCCCTGATCTGGAATTTCGCTGTACAGGTGCTCTACAACCCAATTCTAGCGCTCGTCAAGACGTCGATGCTCTTGTTCCTGCTGAAGCTCGGCAGCCAGAAGCCCGGCGTCCGCATCTGCATCCACATCCTCAACGCGCTCAACCTGATGCTCATGGTCGCTATTTTCATCGTCGTCATCTTCCAGTGCACACCCATCCGCTTCAACTGGGACACAACCATTGTCGGCGGCCACTGTATAAACCAGGGCGTCTTTTACCTGGCCACCGCCGCCTTGACCATCTTTACCGATGTGCTCAACTTGGCCCTGCCCTTTTGGGTTTTCCTTGACCTGAAGATGCCGGTCCGCGTCAAGATCGCTCTCCTCTTTGTCTTCCTCCTGGGCGGCATGTAAGTTGTTTATTTCCACTGTCAAATTACGCCTCGTGTGCTTTCACTGACATTTGTCCAGCGTCACGGTGGTCGGTATTGTCCGTCTGGTTTTCATTTACGACGGCTTCTTTACCGCCCCGGGCCCCGATCCGACGTACTCGCTCGGCTTCTGCACGTCTGCCATTGAGACCAACCTGGCTATTATTTGCGCTTCGGCGCCCTCGCTGCGCGGCCTCGTCCGCTCCTGGTTCCCCCGCTTCTTCTCATCCAACCGTCCCGCGTACGACTACCGCTATCCGGACAGCAACGGCTACGGCGGCGGCCGGCGCGGTACCAACAACAACAACCCCTACGGCACCAGCAGTGTCACGACCAACATTGCCGCCCGCCGCAACAAGGAGAACGGCATTGGCCCCGACAACGGGCCCAGCACCGACGGCCTGGGTGCGAATGCGGCTGGCGCCAGCCGCCGGGGGGTCGGCGGCACGTTTGCGCTGCGCGATCTCAAGGGCGGCTCCAAGACGCACACGGCGGTCAACAGCTCGCCCAGCGCCAGCGAGGAGGAGATTATGACGTACAACGGCATTGTGCGCACGACCAATGTGCAGGTGCACTACGACGGCAGCAGCGAGCGCAAGGGCAGCACGAACCGCGACCGCAGCGGCGATCGGGGCAGCAGCATGGGCATGCGCACAAGCATCAGTGGGAGTTTGTAACAACAGTGTTGGAGGTTGACGTGTGTTTCCTTGTTTTTTTTTGATCCCACGAACAAAATCATATGAGCATACGAGTACGAGCGGTTATGGAGGACGACGTTTTGACATCCTTACCCCATTTTCAACACATTATTATTGTCGTACAGAAAAGGTTTGTATTTTTTTGCATTGGGTTTCTTCTTCTGTTTTCATTTCAGCGTTACTTGTCTCATATTCCCAATACTCGCATTTTTTTTTGCTCCCTGTCTTTCATTTACTGTCCCGTCCTCTTTTGGCAAAAAAGCAGACGTTCTTCTTGTATAAGCACCCTTGCACATAGCAACCATTGTATATTATTTTTCGTTACGTTTAAGTCCCACCCAGACGGAGCAGGCAGATATTGAAAATTGTGAAGGATTATGGTTTTGTTCGTTTTCATTTCATTGACTTGATGGTTACGCGACATCGTGGCCTTGTTTTTTTGGCTTCGACGCAGGTGACATCGCGAAGGCGCACTTGATAATAACCGCATGACACGTCAACAAAGTCCTCCTGTCACATTGTGGAGAACGACTTGCGGTTTCGAGGAAGAGGAAAATAAATTAATAAGTAAATAAAACTCGATTGCGCTCCAGTCGAGTGGCAGTGGTGGTTTCGTGTATGGACAACGGCCATCCTTTTCCAAGACGTCCATTGCCCATTGTCCCCCTGCCCACGATGTACCTCAACGTAGGGATCTCGGTGCCACTTTTCTGGCCCCCAGGTCGCTCCCTCTTCCGTCCCTGGCCAGCCCTCCCACCCTTGTCGGACCCCTGTCTAGTCGATATTCCAATTTTTGGTCGGTCTCAGGCTCTGTATGTCGTGCGATGGGCGTCATATTTCCTTCATCGTCCCCCTGTCCATCTTTGAGGAACCCACACACACTATCCGCCGCAAAACACGAGGCATTTTACGGCGTACATCGAAAACATTTCTTCGATCTCCGCCGAGGCATGTCCGTTGTTTTTGCATTTCTTAATGCCGAGCACTCATTTCAAAGAGACGAGACTTTAGCGTCCATTGGCCTTAGATGCAATTGAAGGAGAAGAAACCGAACTGAGATAACGTAGCCAACCTTGCCATGTTTTGTACTTTTTATTGCTTTGCCATTGCTTAGTATCCACGGCTCCTCGTCTACATTTGTGTCATCGCTCTGGCCCTCACGTTTGTCCTCACTCTGGTCCTCGGCATGGTACGTTGCATTCGCAATGACACCTGCCCGGCCCGGATATCAAAAGGGCCATTCGTTGCTCCGCCCTGTCCGAAAACTGGATGACGAAAACAACACCGAGCAAGGGCGCAGCACGTGTCTGGTAACAGACGCAATGCTACGGTGTGAAACGGAGAAAAGACAAATAGGAGAAATGGGGCATAACGGAGCAGAAAGTCCAACATGGAGCACAAACGGGCCACAGGTACGGTGCAGTCATCGGTTTACAGCTGTTTTCAAAAATGCATTGTGTTGCTCGGGTTTCGTCTCGCTGTCAAGAAAGGGCCAAAAAATTCTACGGTTCTCTCAAATGCCCTAATGTTGGGATGGATGACAAAAGTGTCAGATGCAGTGCATCAACAGAGTCAAAGCCACGGCTTCTGTTGCGCAGTTAACTTGTATCGGCCGTCCATGTCCGCCTTGTGGCCCACCACTGCATCTCATCTTGCATCGTCCGTCGTTTTGTCACTTATCTTTTCCGCCAGGCCGCCACATGGCAAAACACAAGGCACCCAGTCCCTGGCACCCAGCATCTGGCACACAGTTAAGGGCACATCCTCCTTGGCACTCCCACATGGCACGAACTGGCACGAACATGGGTGGTGAATGACTATCGTTTCTTTTTGGATCTACCTGATGCGGATCTACCAGGAACAGACTCGCCCGTCATAGCATATGACTGAGATCTGGGAACTGCACCGTCAAATTACGACATGCGCATTGCAATTACACCGTACGGAGGAAACAGACACCTCTCTCACCCCTTTCCACCTGCACCTTACTCCTTTCCCTTAACGATATCAGGCGTCCTTCCTTCCAATGCAACTCTTGCGCAAGCGACGTCTCTTGCTAAAACGAAGGCAAGATTGCAAAAGGGGGCCCGGGGGACAAGCGGTGTATTTCCAGTACATATATGAAAAGTACATACGACGTACAACATATACTGTACGACACATCGTTGCATCGCTTGTCTAGTTTTATTATCTTGCTCCTTCACATTCTTCAGTATCCATTGTGGCTTTTCCTTGTGCCGTCATGTCGTGCCTGAGTGGGTACACGTGGTATCTGAGGAGGATAGCTGAAGAAAAGGAGAAGGTAGAAAAAGAAGCGGACATCTCCTGGCAAAGCTCGAAGCATGACAGAAAAGGACTCCAAAAAGTAAACACCCCTTGGTCGCGAACTCAGACGACAACCAGAATAGATCCTTACGATGTATTTCATGAAGACGAAAAAAAAATGCTTTGGTACAAACGAAAGTTGACTATGCGATCAGGGGTTGGTTGGAGACAGCTTTTGAAAACGGAGGCACCGCGTCACTTAACTTCACTTACAAACTCTTCACGTGACACGGCTGCGATACATTAAAAAGTCAACATCATTTTGACAAGATGCCTCTTCGAGAGCGGTTCACATGGCCCTTATATAGGATAGTCAACTGTAACTCCTCGTAAGCATTCTTGAGGAACTCATCGTCTCTTATTCATTTTTTAAATTTTAGTTTGCTCCATTGTTTTGGAAAAGAAGGGAATAAATTAAAATAACAATATTCGAACTCCAAACAATAAACAAAATAATCGGTTGCAATTCCATGTCAGGCATCTCGTCGCAGCGAGGACAAAAGCCAGTGCAGATAGAAACTGAACTTGGCATAACAAAAGTAAGCAGAAGCAAATACCAAAGTAGATAAGACGTATAGAGATGCACAAGGTTCCAAGGAAATGCATCGACTATCCCAAAATAAATCCTCAGGCTCTCACCATCCCTTTGAGAAGATATTATCCACCACCTCATCCTACTTGTGGTAGTATGTATTATGCACCTGGCCTGAACCTTGCGGCCGGTCTTGTACGCTAAACACCTCGGCGCTCAGCTCTTGTGCCCGTGCTAGCGGCGAGCTGCCATCACTGCCTGTGGCCCGGTGTCGGCGGTCTCCGAGGCGCGGTGATCCTTGTTCTCCTACGCTAGCTTTGGTGCCCACGCTGCTCCGTGGCGGCGGGGTCTGTACCTCGCTGACCTGCGCGGTCCACACTCCACGCCCGCTGCCGTGATCGCTGGGTGATTTGCCGACCGCCTGCGGTTGGCTGGCATTGTAAGTACCGCTGCTTCCTGTACCCGTGCCCATCCCCGTTCCAGTCCCTGAACCCGACCCGGTTCCACCTGTACCCGTGTTCGACCCCGAGTCCAGTGCAGACCCCACGGGCGTCAAGTGCATGTACCCACTGCCGCTGGATGCGGCAAGCTCAATCGGCGGCTGTGCGTACGCAACGGCATATGGGCTGGTCGGCGGGTATGGCGAGTACGGCGAGCCGTGCTGTGGAGACCAGCCGCCGGGTGGCGTGGGTGCATCGGTGTAGCGGCCGTGGTGGACCGGCGGGTGCATCATCATCATGGCCGTTCCAGGCGCGCCGGCCACGCCATAATAGGGGTCGTGGACCGGGAAACCTGGCGGGCCGTTGAAAGGGCGGCGGTAGCGGCGACGGCGTCCCAACCAACCCTCCCCCTCCGTCCTTGGGCGGCTGTTGCCGCCGCCACCGCCGCCGCCTCCTGCCTGACCACCGAGACGCCGTTCGCGGTACCGCCGCAGACAGGTCCAGCAGCCGGCGACAAACAGAATGACAGCAACCGCCCCGCCGACGGCGATGCCCGCAATGGCGCCCGTGGCCAAATGACTTCCACCAGAGTTGTTGTTGTTGTTGTTGTCGTTTCCGCTACCGCCGTTGCTCCCGACATTGCGCGTCGGCGTCCGTGCGGCAATTGACGCCGTCCGCGTCATCAGCACCTTCAGGTCCGGGCTGTCCCACCCGGCCGCCGGCGCCGTCTTGGTCGCGCCGCCCGACGGCCCGCCGCCAATGGCGCTCACAATCGCGTCGGGCACCAAGTACGTCGTCTCGTTGGGCGCGTACAGCTGCCACAGCGCCTTGTTGGCGGCAAAGCCCATGGTGAGGTCGGCGTTGTGCGTGCCCCACTGCTGCGGCACGTCGCAGTCGTCGGACAGGGGGAACGTGCCGCCGATGATGAGCATCTGCGCGCCCGAGACCACGTTGCAGGTGAGGCTGTGGTGAGGGTACTGGCCGGTGACGTTGCCGTCGGTCGGGTACAGCTTGATCCATGTGAAGGTCGGGAGGGACAAGACGTACATGTCGTCGTAGCCGGCGGTGTCGGGCGGCATGGACGCGCCGCCATAGAGGTATCTGCAAGACAGTGATGAGTGGGTTGGACATGAAGTCGAGAGAACGAGAAAGAAAAAAAGGAAAAACAAAGGAGACGCGAGGAAGGGAAACAAATCGGGAATGGGAAGAATAGGGGAAACGAGGCAGAAGGAACTGAACAGGAAGGAGCGAGCGTGTGGCCATGCGACGAAAGAGAAGGAAGCAAAAGAGCACGTCACAATCAAAACGAGAAGGGGCGAACGAGCAGGAATCCAAATTTGGGATGAGCACGTGCTTAGTGAAAGTGAAGCCATCAATGTCATGACAATGTCATGGCAATGCCATGCCACGTGGCCTGGCCACGATGACTGCCCGCAAAGACAACTTACATGTTGTAGCTCGACTGGTCGGCGGCCCAGGTGACGCCAGCACAAAACCGACGGCGATCGCCCGGGATGGTGCCCGACGCGTGCTGCGCGTACCATTTGGAGCTCAGGACATCGTACAGATAGATTGTGTCGAGGCCCTGGCCCGTCACGGTGCCGTTGCCGTACAGGTCGGTGATGCCGCCCAGATACACGAGCATGCCGCCGTCGCCCGCGGGGATGAATACCAGGGCGCCCTCGGCACGCCGCACGCCGTCGGGCCCCGTGTTGTTGGTCCAGCTGTTGGTGTCCATGTCGTACTTGACGAGCCCCGTCGTCGCCACGGGCGGGCTGTCGGCGCCCCAGCCGCTGACCGAGTTGTTGGACAGCCAGCCGCCGTAGTAGTACCCCTCGCCGCGCTCCGAGACGGCCGCGCCCGCGCCATAGGACACGGGGGAAATGCTCGCCGGCTGCGGCGGGCCCAGCGAGACCCAAAAGTTGTTGAGAATGTCGTAGGCGTACAGCAGAAACCGCGTCGGCGGCGGCTGCTGGTAGTACTCGCCGCCAAACAGGTACAGGTACTTGTTGACCTCGTCGCCCCACAGGGAGCCGCCACTGACGTCCGGGATGCTGCTGTTTTTGGACAAATTCGCGTACAGCGGCGGCATGCCCACGTCGGCGACGTCGCGGGCGAGGTCCTGGTAGAGCAGCCACGTGTTGGAGTAGTTGCCCGGGTACGTGGAGATGGGGTTCCAGTTGACGAGCCCGCCATCAATGTAGAGGCGCCGGTCGACGACGGCCGACTGGTGTCCAAAACGCCGGCAAAAGTTGTTGACTAGAGCGAGGAGAGAAATTCGGGTTAGCTTGCCTTCTCTACACGATATGTCGCCTCCCTCGTTTCAGAGACGTACTTGGATCTTGTTGGCCGGTGGCGTTTGCTACAAAGAAGAAGAGTCCGAGAATAACAACAAAGAGGCCATCATTTCGGGGTATTGACGCAAAGCGCCGGAATGACGCCGGCCGACGATATGGGAGGCGGGAAGCCATGGCCTCGGCTGGCGTTTGGCGCCTATGCTGCAAAAGGAGGGCCGCTGGGAGGAGAGAGTCGACTCTGCAAGAGGGAAAGACGGGCTAAGACATGCTCGAGAAAGATGTACAGGCGTAAACAAAGACAGGCGGAGGCGTGGGAAGATGGACGATGTTGTGGTCTGGGGTCAACGAGCGATGCCTGCAAAAATGCCAGGGACGGAATAAAAGGGACGAGGGGGGAAATCCGAGATGTGATAGAAAGGGTCCGAGGAAATGGTCAGACTGCGTGAAGCACAGGACTGGACACAGAGTACTGAACACGAGCCCTGTCGTATGGCTTTGACACAGTGGCTGAAAAAAGAACGAGATGTTGTGCGACGATGTGATGAAGGCGACGATAGGCAGACACGCAGGCAGGCAGACAGGTAGAAGAAAAGAGGACTGACTGCTTGTGAGGGATATTTGGTGCACAGACACGTTGTTATTCAAAATGTATGTCTACGATACGGCGGCGCAAAAACTAGATATGAAATGGGCGGCGTCAAGTTTACTGGGGAAACAGGGCTGGAGGAAGAGGGACTCGCGTGAAGAACGGTGACGGGGCCAAGATGACAACGCTTTTGGGGGCAGGGAGGCAACTACAGGAAGAAGCCGATCAGGAGGCAGGAGGGGGATGTGAGAAGCAAAAGGCAGACTTAACAACGGAAAACGTCAGCTTGTGCGGCTGAAGAAGAACGTCAGATGGTTAGGTTGGGTCTGCTTGCTGCAAGTGGTGTGGCTTTACATGTGCCCATAGTTTGAAGGAAGAGAGAGAAGACAAGAAAACTCGTAGAGAGGGAAATCGAGGAGAGGGGGTACCACTCGACAGCCACTGCCCTCTGCCTGGCCACATGAATGGCGGCCGGAGAGAGAGGGGAAAGAGGAAACAACACGAGGAGGTGGTGGGACAAGAGACTCGACACCGAAGAATTTGGCCACCGAGGTAGTCTCTCTGTAGTATTTTGTTTTATTCTCTCCGGCGCGTCCTTGCCTCTCGCCCCTGCTGGCGGCTTGACGGTGGCTTGCTGCATGCATGGCGAGATCGCTTGCCAGAGAAAACATTTGCAGAAACAAGCAGACGCCTCACACAAGCCTGGGATTATTGCTTATTGACCGGGACAAGGTCGATAGTCCCTCGCTGTCTTATTGCTTCTCGCCTGTTCTTCCTCGTTGTATGTGAAAGGACACTACAGTCAGTACCTCAAGCACTGATTCACATGTCATGGTGGTTTTGACAAAAAGCTGAGGGGGACATACTCTAGCGAAAAGGATATAAGACGGTAGTTTTTCCCCTGTGCAAGAAGGACGAAAACTGCAGTCAACAGCTCTCAGCCCCGGTCCACGACAGTTGCATACGGAATATTGCCGGATTGGGAAGACTACCAACGAGGGGGGACAAGCCAAAAGCAAACTATAATACAAGCTGCAAAAATATTGATCCAAAAAGAGGGGAAACAAGAGTAAATAAGATAGAAAGAGTGGCTGGAAACCGTCGAAGAAGAGCGAGCAAAAGCGAACCGGGCGGCAGACCAAAAGGCCAAGCCCCTGTTTCGTTCCCAAGACAGACAAACAGCAAACCCAACCACCTACTCTGTTTTTTGTCGTCTACTCTGTAGGTTCGTACGCCTTATGTGTCCGTTCCCATGTTGTCTGTTGGTCGCACCCTCTTGCGCTCGCTCCTCGTCCACTTGCTTTTTCCTTATGTCGCTAGTCCCCCACTTAATAAAGTGATAGGGCTAGTAGCGTCCGTTTTGCCTCTCGTGGAAGGCGGTAAAAGTGGAACCCACCAACAGCGCAACCAAAGCCGAGGAGTTCCAATTCCTGTTCTCTTTGTCTACTGTGCATCTCATATTTGCACATCTTCTACGTGTGCTAAGGGGATGGTCTAGCAGGCCAGAGTTCAAGCCAGCAAGTGTATGTTGTAGAGACAAAACGTCCTCGAGAGCGCAGAACGAATGCATGTTATTTCTGCGCGCTCAACAGACAGACCGGGGCAGGATGACAACAAAAAGATCACACGATGCACAAGGCACTGCATGCCTATTTGTCGTCGTATGGAGGGAGGCGTGTTGCCCCTCTTCGCGCACTCCTTTTCCTGCTCCTTTTTGTTTCGTACTCATCTCGTACTGCCGCCAACTGAACGGCGACGTTGACGGAACACAAATGTCATGTCCCCGAACGCCTTACCCGCAGAAAACTGCAGACGTGGAAGGACAATCGAAGAACAGGTGGAACATGCGGCGTTGGCTGCCTTCCGTCAGCAAGTCATCTTGTGTCAGACGAATGGCGCTTCTTCGGGGTCGTGGCGACGTCGGAAGAGAGAATCGAACAAGAAGCAAGGTGCAAAACGGCACATCTTTACTCGATTGGAATGCGCGTGAGATGCAGGAGAGAAAAAGGAAGGGGACAGCAGGGGAGAACAGGGGAGCGCATGTGAGATCGGCAGACAATACGAATCATCGGCAGATAAAGCCGTGCCACTGGCCGCCCTACGACATCTCTTTTGACATTCTCGTTGGCACCTCGAGATGATGTGCAGCGATCGCTGACGTTCCGCTTTCTTGTTTCTCTTTGTTTCGCCATTTGCTGCAAATTCTTTTTCACAAGTCCGCCCCCATCGGAGTCCTTCGCCCACGTGCAACACCCTTTCTACAAGAATCTGAAAGGGACAAGAACAACAGAAACAGATGTCGGTTCGCTCTATATTGTCTATCTATGCTGTATATATCATCACGCCTGGGCTTTTTCTGGCACTGCCCCTGCAGCCCTACTTCCTCGCTGCCCATCTTGCCGGGCCTGGAGGAGCGCGTCAATCGCTTGGACAGCTGCTTCTGCAGATTCCTGAGAGAACGCTGCCACGACGGCGTCCCTAAATGCGTCGTCCACTGTGACGGCGGGCTGCGCTGCGGTCTCATGTTCTCCTAATGGGGGCGGCACCGGACGCAGCGTTGGGAAGAGTGTCGGCGGCTGCCGCGCCGTCGCCCGTGCCGCCTCGTAGTTGACAATCGTCTGCAGGTCCCACACGCTGCTGTTGGCTGCCGACCTGTCCAGGCTGCTGGTCGCACTCGGTGTCGGCATAGGTGCCTGTGCCTCCGCGTAGACGGCATAGCGTACGACGGCCGTGACGAGCGTATCGGAGCCTACGGCCGTCCCTGTCTTCTGCTGCTGTTCCCACAGAGTGCGAACACCGCCAAGCTCCGCCAGGGTGGCCACATACAGATGGCTATACGGCACCTGGGATGGAAGCTCTGACAAAAGGACGCGGAACGACACGTCGGGGCCGGCATCCGCAGCGGGCCGCAGCAAGTGGACGCCCGTAAGGAGTGAGAATAGCTCGGCTCGCGTGCCGTCCAGAGCAGAGGCGGCGACCTTGCCGCGCAGAGAGTCAAGAAGGGACTGGAGTGCCAAGGCCGCCGCTGGCCAGGAACCCGCGTCTTTCGACTCTTGGTTTGGCCACGTTTCCAGAAATCGGGCCTTGTCCGCATCCGTGCCGGAACCCAGTCCAGCCTGCAGGAACCGTCGCATGGCCATCGGCTGGCCGACGAGGGCCGCGGTCCATAGGCCCACAGCCCACATGGAGGACGTCTCCGCCGCCGCCGCCGTCCCTCCCTCGTCAAGCGCATGGCTCCAGTTGAGCAGCATCGCCGTCACCTGGCGCGCCGTGTCGCGATCGTCCACCGCGTCCTTGTGCTTGCGCCACGTGCGCGTCTCCACAAACGACGCCAGCCGCTGCGCAATCGCCGTGCTGCATTGGCGCGTAATCGCCCGCCCGCTTGGTGTTTGCACGGCCAGCGACACGACCCGCCGCAGTTCCATGGGCGTGCGGCACAGCTGCAGTGCCTTGGACAGCTGCTCCGCCGTCGTAGCCACGCCGTCCTTCTTCTCGCGCGCCGCGAGCGCCCGGTGGAGGAGCAGGGGCACCTTCTGGGGCGTCGCCGCCAGCCGCGCCGAAATGCCGTTGTGGTGCAGCACGTTGCCGTGGCCCGGATCGCGCACGCCCAGCACCGCCGCCCACACATCCTTGTCCAGCACCTGCCACGGCGTCCGCTGCTGCTCCATCACCTGCATGCGCAGCTGCGCGGCGCGGATCTGCTGCTCGGTCTGGGCGAGGCGCGCCGACAGCGCATCGATGGAGGCGTGTGCTTTGGCCCATTTTTCGGCCTCGCGGCGGCCGTCGACCGCTTCGTCGTACGGCCGCACATGGGGGTTGTCCTCGGCATCAAGGTCGAGCACGGACACGGGCAGTTCGTAGAGGGGCGTCCCGGGGCGCATCTGCCACTCGGGGCGCTGGACCCGGGGCGACACCCTGGGCGGCGGTCGAGGGATGATTGTGCCAGGGGCTATTCGGGGCAGATCTGCCTTGGGCGTCGTCGAAAAGGAGCGTGCTCTTGGTGGTCGAATGTGCGCATATGTGCAGGGTGTCGTTGATAAGCTGTCTGGCCATTCTGTATGGCGTAAGAGTGGTCGGCGAGGCCGATGTGGCCGAAGTGGCCGAAGCGGACGCAGAGACTGCATCTTGTTGGCCGTCTTTTCACCTGGATATTAGCACAAAACGAACAAAACACAGTCAATATGCTCAGCCGTTACGGAAAATCCATGCCGTGAAGAGCAGTGTCGCCTGATTTGCCCCCCTTTTTGTCCAAGACGACAATCCGGGGCACCTATGGAGTCGTCTGGGGTAGGAGCGGGCCCTGGAACGTCCGTTAGAATGCTGGTGCTGAAGCTGGCAGTAGCGTGGCTTTTTCTGCCGCGGTTCCTGAAGGCGGTGAACAGCCACTCGGAGCCACTGCAGAAACGCGACTCGCGCGGAAAGTCACGTGTAGGATCCACTCGCGCCACAGGTAACCACCAGTCGCAGCCTTTTGCCGCCTTCCACCCGCAACTTGTGCTATCATCTACGACTCTCTCATCCACCTCCGTCCGCCACCTTGTACAGCGCACATCACACACCATGCCTCTGCGAAAAAGAGCAACACGGGCCTCCAAAAAGGCCGAGGCCGCTGCTAACGAGCCTGTGGCCGAGCCTGCGGGCGAGCCGACGACGACACAACTTGAAGAAGACGCCGCTGTTGAGGACGCGGCAGCATCAAAACCCAAGGCTACGCGAGCCTCTAAGCGAGGAGCGGCCAAGGCCAAGGAGCCGGAGAGCGAGTCCAAGCCTGAGCCAGAAGCCGAGCCAGAAGCAGTCGAAACTACACAACCTGGCGAGGTTGAAGCAACGGAGGTTGAGCCGGCAGAGGCGGAGACAGCAAAGGCAGAGGAGCCAACACGGAAGCCGACACAGAAACCTACAAAAGAGCCAGACACACCAATAAATGTGCCGCCGGTGCCTGGGCCACAAAAAGAGGCTGCCGCCGCCGCCGCCGCTGCCCCCTCTGCGGCCGACCGTATGGCCCGCTTCAAGGCGCTGCAGGCGCGCGCGAAATCGTCTTCCGACCAGAACCTCAAGGCGGCTGCCGCCGAGACCCAGCGGCTGTCGACGGACGCGTCACAGCTGACGGCGCTGCGGCGCAAGGTGGCCGTGACGTCGCACAAGATTCTGAAGGCAGAAGTCGAGGACGCCGGGGGCGACTTTGAGCGCAAGCGGGCGTGGGACTGGACGGCTGAGGAGAGCGAGCGCTGGGACAAGCGGATGAAGAAGCGGGCGGCGCACCGCGACAACGCGGCCTTCCAGGACTACACACAAGAGGCCGGCAAGGTCTACAAGAAGCAGATCCGCAACGCGGCCAACCTGGCGGGGCCGGACCTCGAGCAGTACGCGCGCGACAAGCTGGCGGCGGTCGAGCGGGCGGCGGCGGCGGGGACGCTGGAGATTGTGGAGACGGCGGACGGCGAGCTGATTGCTGTGGACAAGGACGGGACATTCTTCTCGACGGCCGAGTCGACGTCGTTTGCCGACAACCGGCCGTCCAAGGAGGCCATTGACCGGCTGGTCAACGACCAGAAGAAGGCGGACGAGGCGGCGCTGCGCAAGCGGCGGGAGCGTCTGGCGAAGAACGGCGAGGACGCGGACGTGACGTACATCAACGAGAAGAACAAGCACTTCAACCAGAAGCTGGCGCGCTTCTACAACAAGTACACGACCGAGATCCGCGAGAGTTTCGAGCGGGGAACAATGATTTAGGCGGTGGTGTGTATCAAGACAAGTACAGACAGCAAGACAACTCGGAAATGGCTACGGCGTTATTGGTGGATCTGCATGGACGTGTTTTTTTTTGTTTTTTTTTTTTTTTTGTTGTTTTCATTTCTCCATTTTTTTCCTTTCTGTTTTGTTCAGATTTTATTCATTGGGTGGAACTGGCTCTATGGCTTGGACAATCTGTCCTGGTAAACTATGATACACAAACGCTGATACTAATAGTACATTTGACAACGCCATTTTCCCTCCCTCCCTTGCCTCGTTTTCTTTCCTCTCCCCATCTGCTACAACATGCCTTTCCGCCAGCCTCGGTTCGCCAGCTCAACCAGCTGTGCCACCTCCAGCGCGCCACCCACCGACTCGTCGCTCAATGCCTCGACCACCGCCTCCGCCACATCGTCCGCCTTGAGCGGCTTCGTGCCCATCGTGCCCAGCAGCCCTGTCAGCGCGCCACCCGTGAACCTGTTGACGACGGTGCCGGCACCGGCCAGCGCGGCCAACGGGACTGTCAGCGGCCGTGCGGCTGCATCGTAGAGGAACGGCGCCCGCACAAAAATGGGACGGCCGAGTGGGTGGCTTGGGTCTCTGGACGCGGCCTCCAGCTGCCGTTCGGCCTCCCGCTTCGTGCTGAGGTACCGCGACGGCAGACCCGGTGCCGCGCCCGACGCCGAAATGTACGCAAACGCCTCGACGCCGCCCTCGGCAGCGGCTTGCGCGGCCAGAACGGCGCTGTCCCGGTTCATGCGCTCGTATGTCATGCCGTCTTTTGCCTTTGATGACGGACCGGTTGGTGGCGATGCAGCTCCACCCAGGACCTTTTTGATGCCCGTAATCGGCGACTCCTGCCCCGATAGAATCCCCTTGTAGTCGGCCTCCAGCAGAATGCCTAGGCTGTGCACGCCGTAGTTGGCGCCCCGGAACAGCGGCGCATATGTCTCCGGCTGGAAGACGTCCGCACGCTCCCAGGACACGCGGCGGGCCCACGACGGCGGTGTCTGCGCGCCCGTCACGGCATCCCACCGCGGCTCGCCCGACCGGCTGATGGATGTGACGTCCCAGCCGCGCTGGACGCCGAATTTGCAGATGCGCGAGCCGAGAAAGCCGTTGCCGCCGCAGACGACCAGTCTCTTTGCTGCTGCCGCCATGGTATTTATGAGAGCGAGACAGATTGTGTGTATGTGTGTGTTTGCGACCTGGCCGAAAGAGAAACCTCCAATGGAAATCGTCCGCGAGCCCGATTTTGCGTGCAATTGCAAGCTGTCTGTCGGCAGCGGCATGTGGTGAGGTCATGGAAGCTCAAGGTCAGGCCATGCAAGAGAGCTGCACGTGACAGCACTAAACTTCGCAGAGTGGGTCCGGTAAATTTTAGTGGAGATTCTCCCCCTGGTAGCCAGTAGAAACGAGTTATTTGGTGGCAGCGGCGATCAACTTTTGCGCTGCATCGCGACAGCCAACTTTGCCTTCACTTTCATCACGACCATCACGTCCATCACGTCCATCTCCACGGCCACCGCCAAGCCTACCTCGCATCTTCCATCCATCGCCCGCCCTCCCCAAATACCACCGTCATGGCCCCTCCGAGCGGTGTCGGCAAGCGCGTCAAGGGCTGCCAGATCTACCGGCCATTTGTCTACGGCTCGACGTCGAGGCCATTTGACGACAAGACCAACCCCAAGCCGCCTGGCGTCCCCGACGACCACACACACTCCTGGACGGTCTTTGTCCGTGGCGTCGACAACACCGACATTACGTATTGGCTGCGCCGTGTCCAGTTCAAGTTGCACGAGTCCATTCCCAATCCTGTTCGAAGTACGTGTTTTCGGTCCTCGCTTCGCTCGCTTTTGTTTATGTCCTTCTTGGATGTGTTATTTCCCCACATTTGCCGACCCACGTGCTAACATGGCTGTAGTGATTGACGGCGAACCCGGCAAGCCGTTTATTGTCGAAGAAACCGGCTGGGGCGAGTTCGAAATCACCCTCAAGCTGTACTATGTCTCGGAGAGCGGCGAAAAGCCCCAGACCCTCTACCACCACCTCCGCCTGCACCCCTACGGCCGCACCGACGAGGACCGTGAGGCCATGCGGGCCACCGGCGAGGTCCCCGCCTGGACGTACGAGGAACAGCTCTTCAACGAACCCTACGAGGCGTTTTACGAGATTCTGACGACGGGCGCGCTGGCGTTGCCCAAGGGAGCAGCCGCAGCAGGAGGAGCTGCTGGTAGTGGTGGTGGTGGTGGTGGCGGCGGTGCCGCCGGCAGCCCGGCCGCCTCGTCTGCTGCGGCCGCCGCGCTCGCGCCCATTGGCAAACGCAGCGAGGGCGGTGTGTTGGCGCGCAGTGCCATGGTGCCGCTGCTCTCGCGGCAACACAGCCCGTTTAGCAAGGAGACGGAGCAGCTGGAGATCAAGAAGCTCCAAGAAGCACAGGGCAGTGTGCAGAGCATGACCGAGAAGCTGCTGGCCGAGCTGCGCGTCAAAGAGGAGCGACTGGCGGCGCTCAAGAAGGAGGCCACGGACGCCATGGTGGCGGGTTGAAGTTGAGTTTGTGGGCAAGGAAAAGCAAAAAAAGAGACAGAAACAAGAAAGAACCGCAGACGCCATGCGCCCAAGCCGGCTAAGGACGCCGAGCAGGTGGGCAGCAGGCAACGAACTACCGGCGCCAAAAGGATAGCTGCCCCACGAGTCCCGGCAAACAAATCTACGGATAGAACCTGGGCAGACATACAGACCCAGGACCTGCGGCAACATTACTTCAGCAGCCAACATGGCTGGTTATGCACGCGGCACAGGATCAGACAGTCTGAGCATGAACACAGTGACCAAGGCGCGACTGGCGAGACTGGCAGTTAAATAGCCATCAACAATAGCCAACAACAATAGCCAACAACAATAGCCAACAACCACAGTCAATAGCTACAGCTGACAACATAATTGAACCACTCTACTCATATCGCTTTAGCTTGAGCGAACACAGTTTTGCCTTTTCCTTTTTGACTTTTATGAAAACTAAGGCTCAGCAGAATCTCCCGCTGTGCCGCATCGACGGCCGATCTTATTGGCCGGCCCCCAATATAAACATGTTCATTTATCCAAAGTGCATCCGGTTGTGTTACTCAATCGAGCAGGTGAAAAAACGACTCGATGATGGTCGCTTTGGGACATACTGCTGGAAAAATCTGGCTGAATACGCTCGTCCCATCCTTTTTCTCTCATCTCTTGTCTCCGCATGACAACATCTTGTCGTCTTGTAGCTCATACAGAGGAATAGATTATCACTTTAGATTGACCCCAACCCCGGCCTGCATTTCCTGCCCCAAGTGGCCCATCTCACAAGACCCGACGAGGGTTCCATCCAGACGCAAATACGTGCTTGTTCCGCTTCGTCATGACAGCCGCGGACGATTACCAGCCAGCTGTTCGTTTAGCCTTGAACCTCTTGCTGCGTTAGCGATCGTCAGACGATGCGGTGGTCTTCTGTACTGCGACCGGAGACTGCAAAAAGCTTCCACTTTCCACTTCCAACTTCCTTTTGCACCCTTCGCTCACCAAGCCTCTATTTCCTGTGCCATCCATTCTCGTCATCTGCAGGTGCAATTCTCAATATGACGTGATGGTGTCCTCCTACATGTCGCCTGCATCTGTTTCTATCTTTCATTCTGTGACAGCCCGGTCCGCCCGTCTGTGAATGCATCGCCATATCGACAAGACCGAGTCCTCTTAAAAATTGAGACGACACCTTCAGACGGCGACTACACCACGACGAGACAGAATAACGCGAAGCACTTTGCCGTGACTTTTTTCAACGAGGAGAGCGAAAAAAAAAAGAAAAGAAAAGAAAAGAAAAGAAAAGAATAGAAAAAAAAAGGACGAAATAATAGCAGAACAACCACATATCATATCTCGCACAATGCCAACGCAATGGAGCAATCGGTTACGGAGCAGTTGGCCACGAAGCAAGTCCGACTTGACAACTCTTATGGCCTTATTCGCAGCCGTTTTGATGCTGGCCGCGCCGGCGATGGTGATGGCCGACGACAATGTAGTCGACAGCGCAACATCGGGTCCCCTCGTCGCTGCTCCCATGGGACATGGTCCGGTCGTCCCGCCCGTCATCAACGCGTCGTTTACCTCGTCCTTTGACGATGTGACGCAGGGCCAGACCTTAAACCTCGCATGGAACCCAATTGACACCAAGTACGAGCCGCTGAGCATCACGGCGCGGGCCATCAATCGCACGGCCGACAGCCGGGCCAACTCGTTTCTCGTGACAATTGCCCGTGGGTCTCTCCCTTTTTTGCGTCGTCGCTCTTGTTTGTTATAGAATGCTGAATGGTGCACCGCTGACCTGACTTCACCGGACCTGACAGCCCACCTTACAAATACGTCGTCGTTCTCGTGGAGCCTGGTCCCCTTTCCACTGCAATATATGCACACCGGCATCTACGAGGTCGAGATCCGGCCGGCCATTTGGAACTTGTCGGCCAACGAGCCCGGATCGCTGACCGTGCCCGTGTTGGCGCGCTCCACCTTTTTTACGATTGGCGACAACGGCCAGGGCGGTGATAGCAACGTTGGCGGCGGCAGCGACGGCGATGGTGCCAACGGTAACGGCAGCGACGGGAGTAGCGGAAAAGGCAGCACGTCACCCAACGCCGACCCGGACCAGCTCGCCTACGGCCAGTCAGAGACGAAAATGTCCGACGCGGCCTCGGCCGCCGCCCATAAGCGACTGGCCCTGGGACTGGGCATTTCGCTGGGCGCGGCCGGCGCGCTAGCGTTGGCCAGCCTCTTGTATGTCGTCCATCGGCGGCATTCACGTCGTGTGGCTGAGACACAGCGGCTACGGGAGAAGCGGGAAGCATCTATTAGTGAACTGTAGGACGTTGTGGGCGAGAAAGGGGGCTGTTGGCTAGAGATTTTTGGCCCATGTGTGGCCTTCATGCTAATTTGTGATATCCCTTTTTGAGGTTTTCTGGTGATGCATTCCAATCGTTGGGTCCTCGAGGCCAGTGAGTTTGATTTGATTTGTCTCTCCCTTGGACAGGATAACTGTTCCACCCTTCGTTCTTGTCGTCAGCCGGTCTCCCTTTCTATTATTCCAATGTTGAAAATGCAAAAAGACGACTGGAATAAAGTTGCTTCTGACTGATGTGTCTTGTACGGTGCATCATACGCTGGAGCCATTTTTAGAAATACAATAAAACGTTTTATATATTGACAAAAAATAAAACAAAAAACGTACAGCAGCGGGTATTCGCTGGTCGTCACCGACCCAACTACTAATCCGCCGATTACAGGTTTGACTAGGGGAGAGCGGACGGGATCCCGTATTCTCCTGTATCTATGGCCGTACGTGGAAGACGCGGGCCCTTTACGGAGTTATACGGGTAGGAGCCGTCGTCCCTTGTCCTGTCACCTCCGCCAACGATACCGGCCACTCTTTGCTCGACCGTACGGCATGGGCCCATTTTGCCATTTGTTGACTACTTGGTATTTATTCTGTCCGTCGGCGCCGGAATGTCTTAAGCAAGGCCGACCTATCGTAAAACTCTCCCTAGCAAAAAAAAAGACTTCTCGGGTCTTGGTATCATACGACGTTTTTCTTTTCTTTTCGTATTCGCCTAGCTTGTCTCTTTTGCCACTTCGAATCGATATGCGCTAAAGAAACGCAGTCATTTCGCCCCACCATGCTTGACCAAAGAAACCGCCGTCGTTCTGCCGCTCTCTGCCTCCCTTCCTACTCGCGTTTGGTGAAGATGGAGGGGGGTGGATATTTCACTGACTTCATCCGCCATACAACTAGTTGACTGACTTCCAAGAACGTCTGTGCGCATTTTGAGTTAAAGTCCCTGAGGCCCTGCATGTTGAAAAACGAAAGTACCGCACCTTCAACGAGGCACAAATAGACTTTTGTTTTTTTTGTGTTTTCAGAGCTGCCGTACGAGTACTGTTGTATTAAACGAATAAACCATGTCCGTGTATGATTCACTTTTTTTTTTTTTTTTTTTTTTTTTTTTTTTTTTTTCTATTTCTTTTTTTCTTTCACCCCCCTCCTCTTTTACATGAAGCTACGATATTGAATTTAATAGACGGAGGTGTGTGACAACGTTAAGCTACCCCCCGGCAGAATAAAAAGGCGAAAAAAAGGAAAAATGAACACAAAGGCGAACGAGTGACGAGACTAGGGGATTATTAGAACCGACCGACACACCACAGGATGACTTCCAGAAGATGTCTCCCAGAGGAGATCAAGTCTTGCTTTCTTTCTGTAATGGATATCGTCATTGTGGCTGGACATGGCTTTGCTCTCAGCCTCAATATGCTGCCGAAAGTAGTTCGTATGATAGCCAAGCGGGAAGATTTGCCCGACCAAGGCCTTTGCCATTTTGGCCTCCTCCTCGTCCTTACGTTTTGCCTGACCTGTTTGTGATATTTGATGTTGCCCAACTTACAAAATGCCCAACTTACAAAAAGTGCCGGCGAATACGCCATAGATCGGCCAACGTGTAGGCGCCCTTGTATCTGTCAGCCCTATAGAGGAGCGAACTACGTGCGCAAACCATCCCTTCCCTCTGTCCTCTTTCGCTGTCCTTTATCCTCTTTTCGAATTTGAATAGTAAGGGTTTATTTCTAATGTAGAAAACACGAGAAGCAATCCAGCACCCAATTGCTCTTTCCTCCGCTGTGGTCCAACTTTTGGACATGTACGTCGCATGCACTTTACGCCGTATTGCACTTTCCCCAAACGCTTGCAGAGGATACCGCCAGTCTCTCTGTCGCTGCCTGTGTCCCGACGACCGTACCTGCCCATTCTCTGTTATGCTTCATTGATGGTCGTGGCAGGAGCCAATCAGAAACCACAGCTTTGTCCCAAAAGGGAAAGACTTAGTGCCTCCAACCCCCTGACGCTTTCCACACCAATCTTTGCGGTTTGTTGTGGATTGATATTAGTCATCCCACCATTGGTTCCACCTTCTAAATAGGCTCGTCCACCCGGCCTATCTGGCTGGTTTCTTTCGACTTGAAAAAGTCAACACACGTTTTTCCTCAACACACCTTATCCTCGGTGATCTCCACGGCGTCTTCTCTAGTTGTCAACTGCGCTTTAGATCCCATTGCCACTCCGCGGCAGCAATGGGAATATGGCATCACTCTTCCCTCTTTCGCCCACATCGTCTCCTCTGCTGTGTCTTCGCCTAACAAACATCAGCATTTTGATTCCACGGCAGCTCGGGACGCAGCACGATTGCCACCAGAAGAGACACCTCGATGTCATGCAATGAATGGCATTCCAACGCCACTTAGACCCCATTCCCAGGCCCCGAGAAACCGGTGGCGCCCATACGATGGGACCAGAAAATGTCTCCAGCGTCGACTCACAAATGCACGTCTTCACGTGGCACTGAGACGGCCAGTGGCTGCCCATACTGTGCGGTGACTTTTCGTCCAATTGTTGTCCAAAGCAGCGACATAGTTCAGCACCTGGGACACCTGGACTCCGCAAGTACTCCGTCTGTCCGGGTTGTTTGCCTTGTTGAACACCCCAACATGTGACCTGTGGTCGCGTTTCCACTGGCGCCTGCCAACAGTGTCGGCCAAGGCACGCCACGCTGCTGAATGCTCTGGAACCTGGGAAATGAGACCTTGCCAAATTGGCGCAGCCGTCTTGTCTAACCAGCAACCGCTCTCCTAAAAGCGCGAAGAGGGACAGGAAACACTGGCCCTGCTGGGGCACGGACTGCCTCCCTTAATGACAAGAGCACACCCAACAAGGTACGACACATGTGCAGGGAAGAGGGGGGCGACCCTGAGAAGCGCGTCGCACTCCGTACGGGGGGTAATGATGCTGAAAACAAAAGGTACCAAAACCCAGTAAGGAAACCTGATCTGGCCGGGCACGAATCTGGTCCGACAACTCGTCAACGGAGTATTGTTCGGTCCCCTGTTTGCCATCGCCATGTCCTTGCCTTTGCCCACTGCAAAGCTTATCCTGTCGAGACGTCAAGGTGCGTTCAGAGCCATTCCATTACCCCGTTTTATCTTTGCTCACAAGAAGCCAGCTCTGCCCTACGGAATAAGCGTAGCATTCCGTGCTCAAAGTCTTGCATCTGACGTGCATTTTACTCCCCAACGATGCCGTGAACCGTATGGGGTAGTGGAATGTCTTTCGCGGATTTGGGTGGTATGACAATAATAACAAAATCATATTGCCGTCTTCCTGAAGTTCGACTGGCTTTCTGGCAATTTTACGGGGTACTCACGATGCTCATACCAAATCCCGAAAATACGACACGACGATGTTCCACAGGGCATCTCGTCCCATGCTTTTCAGATAGCGGCAGATCGCGGCGGGAGACGCGACCAGCGCAAACGAAGCAGAGTGCCATCTCATTACCACGACACAGATGGCATCGAAATCCACCGCGGAAGCCGTCCACATAACCGCGAACGCGTCCAGCATCTCCAATGAGATTTGACGCCCTGGCTATTTGAATTCCAAGCACGCCCGGGAGGCTGAATCGTGCGCGACCATGGCGTGACTATTCCCATACTCCATGCTACTCGCACGCTGTTCTAGTTCATGTTCTCATCTCGCCCGTCTCTACTGTTCAGGACTTGGCGTTATGCCGAGCACCGGCACGCCTGGGTCGGCACCGAAGGCACACTGCATTAGTACCGCAAAACGGAGCCCAAAATGCACACTTCCGGCGATGTCCAAGAATCAGGCCACTCCTCGCGAGCTACAGAGGTGACCAGCGAAGGTTAAGACTGGGCGTCATTCCTGAGCTAAGTCGTACTTGATCTTATCTCGTGTTGGCTCGTCTTTGTTCTTTTTGATATTCCTCCACCTTATTTTCTACGGTTGGTTCACTTTCGTCGCCTGTTGACTCGGCGGGTTTGGAGCCAATGGTATTACACAGGGCCTTTTGCAGATGGGTTTTTCCATGCAGCTCCACTCCCTGTCCCATCCCACTCTTTCCCTTTCTCGCCCACATCGTCACCTTGTTGCCAAGAAGAGCATGGAGAGCGCATACGACTACCCGCCCAAGGTCAAGGACCGACGGTGTCTTGGCGAGTCTACCGTTGGTTCGTGGGAAATGGCTTACACCCAAAAAAATAGATGACAGAAGCACGGTTTACCAACGCGTCGAAGCCGAACCCACAACCCACGCACACCTTGCCCAGCATGCACGGTTCGAGGTCATCCCTCTTGGAATTGAGGTATTGAGGCATAGCCCTACGTGACATGGTTCTTCCCACCAGATCTGAAAACTTATTTAACGGTCTCGTCGCGCGCACCTTGATGCCGCCCTCTGCTCCGTCTCGCTGCTTTTCTCTTTCTTCTTTCATCAACATTAGCCGACTTTGCTGCTTGTCCTCTCTTCGGCGTCACCCGTGAGCATCTGTTTTTGCTCGTCCTCTCGTTCGCGCTCTCGGTAGCCTGCCACGTTATATCCTATATTCTAGAAGTGTGCGTTGAAGCCCTTGTCTCGTTTTGGAAGACTCTACGGCTTGTGCTATATAAAATCGGCCGCCGCCCATTCGACCCTGAACGTGTCATTATCTTGTTATACCCAACGCCAGCTAACAACAACCAAGCCCGGCATCCGCAACCGTCATGCCGCCCTCAATGATGCGGTTGGCCTCGGCCGCCGCCATTTTGGCGCTGTCCAGCTCAGTCCAGGCTGCCTCTAAATACATCCTCGAAAAGACGTATGACTACAATAACTTCTTCTATAATTTCGGTTACGCCCATTCCCCCGACCCGAGCCATGGATTTGTCGACTACATACACCCGCCTGATTCCAATAAATTTGCTTACGTCACCCAAAACTTGACGATCCGCCTCGGTGTCGACTCAGAAAATAAATACTCGACGACCAGCGGAGGCCGGAAGTCGGTCCGCATGGAGAGTGGTGACACTTTCACCCACGGTCTCTTCGTGGCCAACTTTTCTCATCTGCCCGCCCCGGCCTGCGGTGCTTGGCCTGCATTGTACGTCTTGCTGTCTGGGGAAAAAAAGCCTCCCGGAACCGTGAAACAATAGTATGACTGACGCTTCATAGCTGGATGTACGGCCCCGACTGGCCCAATAATGGTGAAATTGACATCTACGAGTCGTGGAACAACGCCACGTACAACCAGGTCACTATCCACACATCAGGCGGCAGCAAATGCACTCTGGCCGATGACCCTTCCAAGTTCACCGGCAAGGTCCTGAGCTACAACTGTGACAACACCATAGACAACCCACCCACGCAGTACCCCGGCACCGGTTGCTCCATCGAGGAAGCGACTGGCTCCGCAGCAGCCACCAGCCCCTTTGCCAACCCCAACGGTGGCATCTACGCCGTCGAGTGGACTGAAGATCACATCAAAGTCTGGAGCTGGACGCATGACAGCTCCGGCCTACCCACCGACATCGGTAGCGGAAACCCCGATCCGTCGCGCTGGGGCCTCCCTCGTTCGTATGTCGGAACACCCAACTGTGACGTCGACAAGTACATCACTCAGCAGCGCTTTGTCTTCAACATTGACTTCTGCGGCGACGGTTCCGGCAACAACTTTGGCTCGTGCTCTGCCGCCTTAAACAACTCGAAGTACCCGGCGACCCCCGAAGGCTGCGCCGCCTACGTTGGCGACTCACCCCAGGTCTTTGCCGATACCTACTTTGAGATCAGGGACCTCAAGGCTTACCGGCTAGTGAACGCTCCGTCGTCCGTGTCGTCTACGTCGACCGTGTCGTCTACGTCGTCTGCGTCGTCTACGTCGTCCGCGTCGTCTGCGTCGTCTACGTCGTCCGCGTCGTCTGCGTCGTCTACGTCGTCCGCGTCGTCTGCGTCGTCTACGTCGTCCGCGTCGTCTGCGTCGTCTACGTCGTCCGTGTCGTCTGCGTCGTCTACCTCGTCAGTGTCGTCTGCGTCGTCTACCTCGTCCGCGTCGTCCGTTTCGTCCACGTTTACCAATTCTACCAGCTCTGCCAGCTCTGCCAGCTCACGCTCTGCCAGCCCCTCCAGCTCTGCCAGCTCCAGCTATGCAAGCTCCAGCTCGGCCAGCTCTAGCTCTAGCTCTGCCAGCTCCAGCTCTGCCAGCTCCAGCTCTGCCAGCTCTGCCAGATCTAACTCGACAATCTCTGCCAGTTCTGCCAGTTCTGCCAGCTCTTCCAGTCCCTCTAGGTCTGCCAGCTCTAGCTCTGCCAGCTCTGCCAGATCTAACTCAACAATCTCTGCCAGTTCCTCTAGTTCTGCCAGCTCTTCCAGTCCCTCTAGATCTGCTAGCTCTAGGTCTGCCAGCTCTAGCTCTGCCAGCTCTAGCTCTGCCAGCTCTAGCTCTGCCAGCTCTAGCTCTGCCAGCTCTAGCTCTGCCAGCTCCAGGTCTGCCAGCTCTAGCTCTGTCAGCTCTGCCAGATCTAACTCGACAATCTCTGCCAGTTCTGCCAGCTCTTCCAGTCCTTTCAGCTCTGCCAGCTCTGCCAGTTCTGCCAGCTCTAGCTCTGTCAGCTCTTCCAGTCCCTCTAGGTCTGCCAGCTCTAGCTCTGTCAGCTCTGCCAGATCTAACTCAACAATCTCTACCGGCTCTGCCAGCTCTTCCAGTCCCTCTAGATCTGCCAGCTCTGGCTCTGTCAGCTCTTCCAGTCCCTCTGGCTCTGCCAGCTCTAGCTCTGTCAGCTCTGCCAGATATAACTCAACAATCTCTACAGGCTCTGCCAGCTCTTCCAGTCCCTCTAGATCTGCCAGTTCTACCAGCTCTGCCAGCTCTGCCAGCTCTGCCAGTTCTGCCAGCTCTAGCTCTGTCAGCTCTTCCAGTCCCTCTAGATCTGCCAGTTCTACCAGCTCTGCCAGCTCTGCCAGTTCTGCCAGCTCTAACTCGACAATCTCTGCCAGCTCCAGCTCTGCCAGCTCTGCCAGCTCTGCCAGATCTAACTCAACAATCTCTACCGGCTCTGCCAGCTCTTCCAGTCCCTCTAGATCTGCCAGCTCTGCCAGCTCTGCCAGCTCTGCCAGCTCTGCCAGCTCTGCCAGTTCTGCCAGCTCTGCCAGCTCTGCCAGCTCTGCCAGTTCTGCCAGCTCTAACTCGACAATCTCTGCCAGCTCCAGCTCTGCCAGCTCTGCCAGCTCTGCCAGCTCTAACTCGACAATCTCTGCCAGCTCCAGCTCTGCCAGCTCTGCCAGCTCCAGCTCTGCCAGCTCTGCCAGCTCTGCCAGCTCCAGCTCTGTCAGCTTTTCCAGTCCCTCTAGGTCTGCCAGCTCTAGCTCTGTTAGCTCTTTCAGCTCCACCAGCTTTAGCTCTAACTCTACCGGGTCTACCAGCTCTACCAGCTCCCCTGGTACATCCATCAGCTCTGCGAGCTCCATTAGCTCTACGAGCTCCGCCAGCTCTGTTAGCTTTAGCTCGAACTCTACTAGATCTGTTAGCTCGACGAGCTCCTTATCTGTCAGCTCTGCGAGCTCCGCTAGTAGATCTACTATCTCTGCCAGCGCTAGCTCGAACTCTACTAGGTCTAGCAGTCCCATCAGCTCCGCCAGCTCCGTCAGCTCTACCAGCTCTGCCAGCTCTGCCAGCTCTGCCAGCTCTGCCAGCTCTGCCATCTCTGTCAGCTCTTCCAGCTCTGCCAGCTCTGTCAGCTCTGCCAGCTCTGCCAGCTCTGTCAGCTCTTCCAGCTCTGCCAGCTCTTCCAGCTCTGCCAGCTCTGTCAGCTCTGCCAGCTCTGCCAGCTCTGTCAGCTCTTCCAGCTCTGTCAGCTCTGCCAGCGTTAGCTCGAACTCTACTAGGTCTAGTAGTCCAATAAGCTCTACCAGCTCTACCAGCTCTACCAGCTCTGCCAGCTCTGCCAGCTCTGCCAGCGTTAGCTCGAACTCTACCAGGTCTAGTAGTCCTATCAGCTCCGCCAGCTCTACGAGCTCTGTCATCTCTGCCAGTTCTGTTAGATCTGCCAGCTCCGCGAGCTTTAGCTCGAACTCTACCAGGTCTAGCAGTCCCATTAGCTCCGCCAGCTCTGCCAGCTCTGTCAGCTCTGCCAGCGTTAGCTCGAACTCTACTAGGTCTAGTAGTCCAATAAGCTCTACCAGCTCTACCAGCTCTGCCAGCTCTGCCAGCTCTGCCAGCGTTAGCTCGAACTCTACCAGGTCTAGTAGTCCTATTAGCTCCGCCAGCTCTACGAGCTCTGTCATCTCTGCCAGTTCTGTTAGATCTGCCAGCTCCGCGAGCTTTAGCTCGAACTCTACCAGGTCTAGCAGTAGTCCCATTAGCTCCGCCAGCTCTACGAGCTCTGTCAGCTCTGTCAGCTCTTCGAGCTTTACCTCGAACTCTACCAGGTCTAGTAGTCCTATTAGCTCCGCCAGCTCTACGAGCTCTGCCGGCTCTGCCAGCTCTGCCAGCTCTGCCAGCGTTAGCTCGAACTCTACTAGGTCTAGTAGTCCCATCAGCTCTACCAGCTCTGCCAGCTCTGCCAGCTCTGTCAGCTCTGCCAGCTTTACCTCGAACTCTACCAGGTCTAGTAGTCCTATTAGCTCCGCCAGCTCTACGAGCTCTGCCGGCTCTGCCAGCTCTGCCAGCTCTGCCAGCGTTAGCTCGAACTCTACCAGGTCTAGCAGTGCTATTAGCTCTTCCAGCTCTGCGAGCTCTGTTAGCTCTGCCAGCTCTGCCAGTTCTGTTAGCTTTGCCAGTTCTGTTAGCTCTGTCAGCTCCGCGAGCTTCAGCTCGAACTCGACCAGGTCTAGCAGCTCCGTCGGCTCCCTTAGTAGCTCTGTCAGCTCTGTTAGCTCTGCCAGCTCTGCGAGTATTACCTCAAACTCTACCAGGTCTAGCAGTGCCATTAGCTCTACCAGCTCTGCCGGCTCTGCCAGCTCCGCCAGCTCTGCCAGCTTTAGCTCTAACTCTTCCGGATCTGTCAGCTCTGCGAGCTCTACGAGCTCCGTTAGTAGACCAACCAGCACTGCCAACTCTACTAGCTTTACCACCTCTCCGAGCTCTGTTGTCTCTAGATCAACCAGCTCTGTCATCTCTCCAAGCTCTGTCAGCTCTGGATCGGTTAGCTCTATCAGCTCTGCCAGTTCTACCAGCTCCGTCAGTACACCAACCAGCGCTGCCAACTCTACCAGCTCTGTCAGCACTGCCAGCGCCATCAGCTCCTCTATATCTACCAACTCTCCTAGCCCTACCAGCTCTATTAGCTCTATCAGCTCCGCTAGTAGATCTGCCAGGTTTACCAACTCTACCAGCATCGTCAGTTCTACCAGCTCGAGCTTTATCAGCCCTATCAGCTCTACCAGCTCTATTAGCTCCGATAGTAGATCTATCAGCTCTGCCAACTTTACTAGCTCTCTGAGCTCCGTCAGCTCTGTTAGCTCTGTCAGCTCCGTTAGTAGATCTACCAGGTCTGTCAGCTCTGTCAGCTCCAGCTCGAGCCCTTCCAGGTCCAGCTCTGCCAGCACCGCCAGCTCTGCTAGCTCTGTTAGCTTGAACTCGACTAGCTCTTCCAGTTCCAGCGTGTCTAGATCTGCTAGGTCTACGAGCTTTACCAGCGCCCCCAGCTCTGTTAGTGGTACTAGCTCCGTCAGCTCGGGCAGCCTTAACTCTTCCAGCTCTGTCAGCTCTAGCTTATCCAGATCTGTGATACCTACCAGTTTTACCAGCGGCCCCAGCTCTGTTAGCGGCTCGAGCTCCGCCAGCTCTGTTAGCTCGGTCAGCTTGAACTTTACCAGCTCTGCCAGCTCCAGTATTACCGGCGCCCCCAGCTCTGCTAGCAGCTCGAGCTCCGCCGGCTCCGCCAGTTCGGTCAGCTCGAGCTCCGCCAGCTCCGCCAGTTCGGTCAGCTTGAACTTTACCAGCTCTGCCAGCTCCAGTATTACCAGCGCCCCCAGCTCTGTTAGCAGCTCAAGCTCCGCCGGCTCCGCCAGTTCGGTCAGCTTGAACTCTACCGGCTCTGCCAGTTCTAGCATTACCAGCGCCCCCAGCTCTGCTAGCAGCTCGAGCTCTGTCAGCTCCGCCAGTTCGGTCAGCTTGAACTTTACCAGCTCTCCTAGCTCCAGTATTACCAGCGCCCCAGCTCTGTTGGCAGCTCGAGCTCTGTCAGCTCGGTTAGCTTGAACTTTACCAGCTCTCCCAGCTCCAGTATTACCAGCGCCCCCAGCTCTGTTGGCAGCTCGAGCTCTGTCAGCTCGGTTAGCTTGAACTTTACCAGCTCTCCCAGCTCCAGTATTACCAGCGCCCCCAGCTCTGTTAGCAGCTCGAGCTCCGCCAGCACCGGCTCTGCCAGTTCTAGCTTATCCAGTTTATCTAGGTCCGTTAGATCTACCAGCTTTACCAGCGTCCCCAGCTCTGTTGGCAGCTCGAGCTCTGCCAGCTCGGTCAGCTTGAACTTTACCAGCTCTGCCAGCTCCAGTATTACCAGCGCCCCCAGCTCTGTTGGCAGCTCGAGCTCTGCCAGCTCGGTCAGCTTGAACTTTACCAGTTCTGCCAGCTCTAGTATTACCAGCGCCCCCAGCTCTGTTGGCAGCTCGAGCTCTGCCAGCTCGGTCAGCTTGAACTTTACCAGCTCTGCCAGCTCCAGTATTACCAGCGCCCCCAGCTCTGTTAGCAGCTCGAACTCCGCCAGCTCGGTCAGCTTGATCTCTACCAACTCTGCCAGCTCTAGCTTATCTAGATCTACTAGATCTACTAGCTTTACCAGCGCCTCTAGCTCCGCGAGGCCTAGTTCGAGTCTTGCGAGTTCCAGCTCTGCCAGCTCTGCCAGCTCTGCCAGCTCGTTTAGATCTGCCAGCTCCGCTAGCACCTCTAGCTCCGTCAGGCCTAGCTCGACCCTAACGAGCTCCAGCTCTGCCAGTTCGGCTAGCTTTAACTCTACTAGCTCGGCCAGCTCAAGCTTATCTAGGTCTTCGAGATCTGCCAGCTTTACCAGCGCCTCCGGTTCAGCGAGCTCCAGTTCGAGTCTTTCAAGTTCCAGCTCTGCTAGCTCGGCTAGCTTCAACTCAACCAGCTCTGCCAGTTCCGCCAGCTCCGTTAGGTCTGCCAGCTCTGCCAGCAGCTCCGTTTCCGTTTCGTCGCGCAGCTCTGCGAGCTTGGCCTCTAGCTCTGTCTCGTCGTCTGCCTCCGCTTTGCCGAGCTCGTCCTCGACTAGTGCTACTTCGTCCAGCTCTGTATTTACTAGCTCTAGGTCTGCCAACTCGACCAGTAGCTCCGTTTCCCTTTCGTCGCGCAGCTCTGCGAGCGTGGCCTCTAGCTCTGTCACTTCGTCTGCCTCGACTAGCTCTGGTTTGCCAAGCTCATCCTCGTCGGTTAGCGCTGCTTCCTCCAGTTCTGTATCGTCTAGCTCTACGACTGCCAACTCTACCAGCAGCTCCGCGAGTGTGTCCTCTGCGTCTATCTCAACATCTTCCGTTTCGGCCAGGTCCGCTTCCTCTAGCTCTGTCAGCTCTGCTTCTGCCTCGGCCAGCTCTTCCCCACCGGTCAGCACTGTTACTTCGAGTGCTTCCATTTTTAGCTCCGTACCTAGTAGCTCCACATCTGTCAGCTCCGTTTTTACCAGTTCCGTGACGGTCAGCTCTGCCTTTTCTTCCTCGACTACCTCTGTCAGCTCTGTTACCTCTATCTCTTCTACCTCGACGACATCGGTCAGCGCTACCTCCTCCAGCTTAGCTACGTCCTCTGCCTCGGGCTCCTCGTCCAGCAGCCCTTCCGTCTTCAGCTCCACTACGGATGTCAGCTCCAGCTCGACCGGCTCGTCCAGCTTCACCAGGTCTGCCTCTACAGCCTCGTCGTCTGGTAGACCTTCAACCTCAAGCACCGCTTCAGGTGTAAGCTCCTCCTCGGCCAGCTCATCCAATAGTATCAGCTCTACGGCTACCTCTAGCTCGGCTAGCTCCGTGTCTGCTTCTGCTTCTGCATCAGCCTCGGCCTCGGCTTCTGCCTCTGTGTCGTCAGGTAGCACTTTCACCTCTAGCTCTGCCTCTTCGTCGTCTTCAAGTGGCACTTCTGCTTCAGCCTCAGCCTCGGCCTCGGCCTCTGCCTCTGTCTCGTCAAGCAACACTTTCGCTTCTAGCTCTACCTCTGTCTCCTTCAGCTCAGTTAGCTCCGTGTCGGCTCCTACTTCTACTTCAGCCTCGACTTCGACCTCGGCTTCTGCATCAGTTTCTTCGTCAGGTACCGCTTCCGCCTCTAGGTCTACATTTAGCTCCGCTTCGGGTATCAGCTCTGTCTCGACCAGCTCGTCCAGCGTTGCTAGCTCTGCTTCGTCCGTACCGTCCAGCTCCGTCCCTGTTCCGTCGAGTTCTTCCGTTGGTCCTTCGACTGCCAGCTCTGTTACCTCGAGCTCTGTTACTGTTAGCCCTTCGAGATTTAGCTCGGTTCCGTCGATTTCTTCTTCCGTTGGTCCTTCGAGTGCCAGCTCTGTTATCTCGAGCTCTGTTACCTCGAGCTCTGTTACTGCTAGCCCTTCGAGATCTAGCTCGGTTCCGTCGATTTCTTCTTCCGTTGGTCCTTCGAGTGCCAGCTCTGTTATCTCGAGCTCTGTTACCTCGAGCTCTGTTACTGCTAGCCCTTCGAGATCTAGCTCGGTTCCGTCGATTTCTTCTTCCGTTGGTCCTTCGAGTGCCAGCTCTGTTATCTCGAGCTCTGTTACTGTTAGCCCTTCGAGATCCAGCTCTTTGGCCTCGTCCTTTTCTTCCGTTGGTCCTAGTGTCTCTACTCCCTCGAGCTCTACAACTATTAGTTTTTCGACTACTAGCTCTATTACCTCGAGCACTACGACCGTTAACCCTTCGACTACCAGTTCTGTTCTCTCGAGCTCTTCCGTTGGTCCTTCTAGTGCCAGCTCTACTCCCTCGAGCTCTGCAACTATTAGTCTTTCGAGCACTAGTTCAATTTTCTCGAGCTCTACCGCCCTGAGCCCTACGAGATCTACCTCCATTCCCTCGAAATCTGCATCCGTTAGCCCTTCAAGAACTAGCCTTACTTCCTCAAGCTCTGTCGGTCCATCCGACACAGGCTCCGCTGGCCCAACTGGTAGCGATTCGGTTACTAGCTACACTACCTCGACCATCTTCTCTACCACAACATCGACGATTACGTCGTGCCCGACTACTGTACCACATTGCCCCACTGGACACGTGACGACTATTACTTATGCCGTCACTACCACTGTCTGCCCTGTTACCTCCACCTCTACACCTACTGGTAGCGGCTCTGGCTCTGGCTCTGGCTCGGGCTCGGGCTCGGGCAGTGGTTCTGGCTCCGGCTCTGGCTCCGGCTCTGGCTCTGGCTCTGGCTCTGGCTCAGGCTCGGGCAGTGGTTCTGGTTCAGGCTCGGGCAGTGGTTCTGGTTCAGGTAGTGGCTCGGGCTCGGGCTCGGGCAGTGGTTCTGGCTCCGGCTCTGGCTCTGGCTCTGG